ATGAGAAAGATAGCTACAAGGTTACTATTAATATGTGAAGTTATTTTCTATTGGTGATAGATTACATCTTGAGATAGTGATACTATGTGCAACTACAAGTAACCAGTTGTGGATAGTTTGATGTTAGTTAAGTAACAAGGGATTCAGTATGAAAAAAAATAGTTTTGCTTATGTTCAGAATACATTAGTGCTAATTTCAAACATAGCTTTTCAGTAAAGTAGACTATCCATTGTGGACAGTAACAAAGTTTGTTTAAATGTTACTGTGCATGTGTTTAGTATTTCTTGCAAGCTCAGTTAAATTGGAGAGAGGGAAAAGATATTTTGCAGCAAGTATCTCCACAAATCTTGTCTGTGGAACCATTTTATTACTTTGTGTTTGTGGAGGGGGGGGGGTTAAGGTTGCCTTTATTAGTACTTAGGGAATGTAAACAATTGTTTTAAAAAGTTTAATACTCAGCATTGTTAGTTATTATTGCTTCCAAATTTTTCAGTTAACCAAAAAGAAGTATATAATGTTCCATTTCAGCAACAAGTTATTTCAATCTGTTCCATTACAACATGTTATTTGATTGAACTAAAGTAAAAGTCTGGTCTTCAACAGATACAACAAGGAAAAAGCAATCCTCCCAATGAATATAACCCACACATTCTGAAAACTTTCAATCTGAAACGCATTGACAATCTTCATTTTATCTTTTTAAAGATAAAATACTATTTGACTACAGGGACAGATAAGAGCATTAGAAAAAACTTAACTTACTTCTTTACTTCCTGTACATAGTCTACGTCATGGTCCAGAAGACGAGTGAAAGAATCTTTAATTGAATCATGCTTATGTTTTGAAGCTATTCCAAGAAGTGTTACTTCTTGTATACTTTTACAAAGTTGAGATATGGCTTGTCCCTAATTTCAATGGAATACAAATTTATTAGAATCATTTAATAAAACCTTCAATATGGAGTTACTGTAGTTAAGATACACAACTGATACAAACTAAAAGTTTATTTAATATCCAGGAATGAATAAAGTTTTGGTCATGTCTAATACGAGGCATTTCCTGAAGAGAAAAATAAAGTTTATAGAACATTTGAATGAGTTGTTAAGTATAGAAGTAGTTTTAACATCTTTGAAAACAAAAATTGATAGAAAGCATCAAAAATAGGATAAAGTTTCTATAAACATTAAATTTGCCATCACAAGTATTTAACAATGGTATAAGAGTTCAGAGAAAGAAAAATGCACATCCTTTAAGGAATTTTCAAATATTCCCTATACAAATACTAATAATTAAATGCAAGAAGAAAGACTAGTCAAAAATAAATTTCTAAAAAAGTTATCTTAAGACATTAATATTTTATCCACTATTAATGTATCTACTAACTTTAGAACTTAATACAAGTTAAGAAGCTTTCTGCTAAAATCCACATCCAAATTAAAATAGTTTTTGGTAGGCAATATGCTTTAATAGTAATTAAAAATTTTATTCAGTGTAATAGCAAGGATTAATTCAAGCAATTTTTTTTTTTATAGTTTTTCCAATTTTTAGAAAGTTAATATCCATGATAAGCCAAAAGTTGGAAAAAAAAAAAAAAAATGTTGATTAGTTATTTTCATGAAATCTGATTTTAGTAGACATCTTTAGTGTGTACAATATGCTACCAACCTAACACTTAGTAGGTTAAAGTAATAAAAAGTAAAACTTGTGCTAACAAAGTCTTACTTTATTAATATAAATATTAAAAAAAGTTAAGTTTTATTTACAATCTTGCCAATTTGCTCACAATAAAAATGGATTAACAAATTTTACTGACCACTCCTCCACCTGCTGAATGAACAAGGACACTTTGGTTACTACGAATGTTGCCCACATCAAACACCAGAATGTAAGCAACAACATAATTCATCAACATAGAAGCAGCATCTAGAAAGTTCATTCCTTCAGGTAATGGGTAAACATACTTAGCAGGAACAGCAGTTAGTTCTGCCCAAGCCTTGTATTCAGTCAGAGCAGCTACTCTGTCACCAACCTAATTATGAAACAAAACATGTGCTTCAGAATAAACATTAGTGAAATTCAAGTAGCTCAGTCAAACTTGTTTGATATTCAAGTGTTGAAAAACTAACATTAACAGTCTGAATATGGGTAGTTATGAGAACCTGTCCTCTTTAGAAGAGTGATATTCAAAAATTAAGATATTAACAATTTATACAAGAAGAATTTAACATGAAAACTTAATGTTATACAACTTATCCTTTAGAAACAGTTTTGAATATAAATTCTCAAACTTCACTTCTCTATCAAACGATAGAGGTTTGTTGTAAACTCCCCGATTTAAGTAATTATTTCTATCTCTATGCATTTGGGTTAATAGAATTTAAGCTTTATAGATATTGCAAAGGCAATCCAATATTACAGCCTTCAGATCTTTATTTAAGCCAGGAAGTGAAACCTGCATGATACATCATTCTAATCAGAAAGTTTTCAGTTATCTAATACATATAACTGAGATTTTAATATTTAACAGGCCAATTTATTCCAGTGGCAGGTTTTGAATTATGAAATTATAGGTTTAATGTAGCTATTACCAAGTTAACTTCAAATGAAGCAAGATTTTAAACAAAGCTTAGAAAGACTGTTAAATTAGTTAAGTATTGTATTTTTAGGTCAGTGTTTGTATCTGAACATTTGAAATTAAAAAGTTCAGTTAAGTACAAACAACAACCTCACAAAAACTGGGGATGAACTTTAGATTGATTGCAAGAAGTACAAGATCCAAAAATTAAGTTTTATGAAAATAACTAATATGAAAAAGTTAGAAAGAAAGTTAAACAAAACAAATGAAAATAGTAATCACCAAGATATGTATTATATAGTTTAATACCTTGCTTTACCAAAACTTTAGATGCGTGCTTGCCAGGTGTTTGACTTTGTTACATGTTTATGTATGGTTCAAAGAGCAATAATACAAAAAATAAAGTAGATGTAAACTGTTATGAGCTTTAGGCTGTTTAGGGTAAAGCTAATTCTGTTCCAGTTTGTAGTCATCTATAATGGACAAAGTTCATAGTGTTATAGTAGAAAAGACAGAATATTTAGTTTTAAAGACTGTTTATTTAAAAGTTTCTATAGGTTATGTAAAAGAAAGTTGAGTCACCTTCAACTCACTAGTCAAAAATCAAATTAACACCAGACAAGTCTAGAGAAAGTTAGTAATTAAAGCTACTTTATGTAGCTTAAATGTTTCCAAAAAGATTGAAATTAAAGATAAATTTAATGCACCAATTGTACATAGTTTTAAAAATAACCAAACTAGGATAGGTTAGTTTATTTTTTCTCTTCATACAAAACTTGAAATTGACACCTTTTGCAAAATAACTGTCCAACAATTTGTGCTTACTGATTAAGTCTTACAGGTGAACAAATTAAAGTTGGTCAGAAAGTTAGAACACAAGTTTAGCCAGTTCAAGATGTGGCTCAACTTCAATACAGCAAAGGAACTAAAACAGGATTTCAATAACTAGAAAAGGCACTCAAGAGAGCAAGCAACCCCTGTACTTGCCATGAACACACAGCTTTGCTAGTGAAATACAGTGTAGCTCTGTGCAAGACAAAAGTAGTGGGCAAATATAATGTGGTCACAAGATGAGAAGGGAGGTGTACCTGTAAAATTTACCTGTAAGAAAGTTAGTTTATGTATAATACTTAAAAACTTTATTAGGTTACCTTAATATCTGTCACTCCTTCTCCTACACCTTCCACTTCTCCAGCACATTCAAATCCTAAGATAAATGGAGTTTTGGGAGGGCTGTCTATCAAACCCTGTCTGACCATGACATCCATAAAGTTCATTCCACTGGAGAAGGAGAAAAAAAAAAGTCAATATTCAGAACATGTGTAAAAACAAAACAAATTAAGATTAGACCTGCTGTGGGGCCAGTCTTAGGGTGAGGCCACTGAAGCAACTATCTCAGGCCCTGCATCCTCCAAAGGCCAGCCCTGCCTTAAGAAAGCCATTATTTTCACCTAGACTATTCTTAAGACTATTTGACATCAACATATAACATTAAGATTTTTCTTCAAGACAAAAATATCAATCCCTACCACTAAAAAAATTTCAGAAATACAATTTACATATTTATCTCACTAGTGGACCATCAGATCTTATCTTTCTCTGAATGATAGTGATAAATTAATTTTGAACCTCCAGTGGAAGATTAGACTAGCCAAATGCCTTGAGACCCTTTGCTGATTGAACAAGCTCGGGCCAGTATATAAATTTCAAACAATGGCTAATCATTCTTAGCAAGGTATAATGTGAAAGTGGCAAATTTGAAATACCCAAGTAAAATTAAAAGTCAGTTAGGATCATAAGAAACAAATTAGAGAATGGGGAAGTATGACCAGCTCATACCTCCTGTATTTGCTGAAACTACAGGTTTTTGGTTTGTGTTGTCACATGAATGTGAATTTAGTTTCAGATTTTCTTATAGAACTATGCACTTTGCTATTCACACTTATAGTATAAAATTATGCATTACTATTATGCTTGCAAATACTCAAAAAGATTTTGTTTTTAATTTAGAAGATTAAGTTGTTCACAAGAATATATTATGTTTAGTTCTATTACAGTATTAATCATTTGTGTGGTGCTATGCAAATACTTGAAACAAGTTGTGCCCTAATTTATATGAAGTTCTTACAGATATGGTGTTTGCACAAACTTTTTTGGGACTTTAAGTACTGACAATCTTTGGTTAAAATCTCAGATTTATATTAGTAGGAAGCTACAATAATGAAGTAATAAAATAAAGTCTGGATAAAAAAGGTATTTACCAAATTTATTGTTATAGCCTTATACCACATTCTATACTTTGCAAGATCTAAATACAGAGATTAAGATACAATGGAAACACTTAAGTAGATAAGAAAACTCAGATAATCAATATTAAAATAATGCAATAAACTCCCTAAAACTTCTAAAATAATTATTAAGTGAAAGTAACAATTACTCAGTAAAGACATTTATCACATGGTTGTTACCAGCACATGTGCAGGGTATCACAAGCAGTATTTAGGCCATACTAAGCCAAATTAGCATCAACCTGCCCATCATAAACATCTAGATTAAGATTTCCAGGTTAAAGTATCAATTCCCAACAGTAACTCAAAGCATTATATTATGAAAGTTATCCCCCATTGTACCACACTTTCCAATTGGAACAAGCTGCAAGTAGATCAATGGAATACTCTGAGCAATCTAGCCATAAAATAATGTCCAAGGGATCAATGAGTAAACAATCTCAGCAGCAAGAGATTTTGTGCAATATATTGAAATATGAAGTTTCTACCAATATCCACCCATTTGCATTAAAGGCTGTATTAATAACTACAAATGTCAACAGTAGTATTGTTAAGTAAAACATAACATTCAGAGATAAATCTTGAATCCCAAGCTAATTTTTTTGCACACTTGTTATAAAACTTGTATGTACAGTCACACAACTGTAGTTATTGGAACACAAGTTACATTTTGTAATCAAACTCATAATCTTAACTTTCCATTTTCTTCCACCCAACTGAAAGTCAACGAATAGGTTAGACTTCTTTTCTTAAAGTTTAACTAAGCCTAGTAACCATTAGTAATACTACTACTAATTAGTATAGTATAGCAAATTATTAAAACTAGCTTATCATTACTTTATATAATAACAACAATAATGTTTTTAGTATATTTCTTACTACATGTACTGGAAGTTTTATAATAAATTTTAGTCTACACAACAATAACTTATTTTTGGTAGTTACAAAGAAATTTTCTACGCTTCCTAAAATATGTTATTGTTTACAGAGTCATAACGTATCACAAACGTGACTCACCATGCCTTAACCCGTATCAAGACCTCGCCTTTACCAACAGTTGGTAGAGGTTTTTTCATTATTTTAACCGCTTTTAGACCACCAAACCCACTGAGTATCACAGCTCTCATTTCTTTAGGTGAAGCAGTTTGTTCTTCTTCATTTTGTTGTTCCACCTCAACTTCTTCGGTTTTATCTCCTGCACCAGCGTCTGCCATACTTTTTAAGTTGTATAACCTACCTTACAATTACCTAGACCGGTCTAACGTTTCCGTCAATGATAATCAGCTTTTATTCAATTCAATATGCCATCTAGCGGTATATTTAACATTAAAACAATTTGCATAATGCTTTGTGTGACTGTATTCTTTCAAAATCTTAAAGCAGGCGAAAAATTATGGAAAAATTACAACAGAATATATCACGTTTATTTATTTATTTTGTAACATGCTTTCGGCTGCTTGTTGAAGAAGGCCGCAGCACGCATCATGAAATAACTTTTAGTTTTATTTAATGTCATAAGAAAATATAAAACAAAATAAATTTTAGTTTGCTCTATGACATTTTAAAGAAAATTCAGAGCAAAAGCTCTTCGTTTTCCTTAACGCGTCTTTAAAGAAAACTTAAAAGAAAGAAAGCTATAGTTTTACGTTATGACATCTTTAAGAACGTTTACGGCAATATTTCACTTTGACAATGAACAATGGAGACCGGGAAACCACACGAGGTTGTTAAAAATGAAGGATAAAATTCATTTTGATCAGTTTCCACAGTTTAATGACACTATTGATATCTGTTGTGAGTTAACAAAGATGAAGAGTAATTTCTTGTTTGCTTCTTGTATAAACAACAAGGGAACTACGCGAAATAAGTAATAAGACAATAAAAAAGAAGGAAGGACACCAGGGTCCGAAATTCGTAAAATTTCTAACCAGTCCTTCGCAAAAATTCTAAGTGGTCCACTCAATAAACATGTAAGTACATGTTAATTCCATTTTATCAATTACACATGTGATTTTTTTTTAAATAAGGACACAATTGCAAACGTGTATGTACATATATGTGCAACATTAAACAAGACTCTTTGATTGAAAACAACAGTTTTTGATTTTATCACTGTTGAAATGTACATAATATCTATATTAACCCAGATAAACTATTTTAATACTGACCAAAAGACAAAAAATTCTCTACTGAGATGTTAATATTCGTTACACTTCGTTTATATCGCTCCTGAAGGTTAAAGATTGGATATGTGAGCCACTTAGTACTGATTTTTGTCAGTCGTTGAATAATGGGCAAGTACCAGAGGACTGGACATTAGCTAATGTAACTCCTCTTTTCAAGGGAGGTGATAAAAATTGTCCCAGTAATTATATACCCCTTAGTCTTACATCAGTTGTGGGAAAAGTATTGAAAAGTCTGTTAAAAGATGCATTGCAAAGTAATTTAACAAAGTTTAGAATTTGATTGGATAGTAAATAGGGTTTCACTAAGGGAAAATCTTGCCCTACAAATCTTTTGACATTCTTTTAAAATGTTACTACTTATGTAGATGAGGGTAAAGGTGTAGATTTGGTGTATCTGGATTTTCAGCTGCATTTTACAAGGTGCCACATAAAAAGCTTGTAAAAACTTATCTCTATAGGTGTGGGGGATAAGTTAGCTAATTGGATAGAAGAGTGGCTGAATGGAAGAAAGCAGAGGCTTGTTACAAATGGAGTTCCGTCAAACTGGATTAATGTCACGAGTGGGGTACCTCAGGGTTCAGTCTTAGGACCTTTGCTCTTTTTGATTTACATCAATGACATAGATGAAGGAATAGTTATTAAATTACTTAAATTTGCAGATGATATTAAGGTCTTGG